CCGCCGGCCGCGGCCAACTGCTGGTAAAGGCCGGCCGGGCCTTGCATCGACGCCCACTGATTCCACAGGTGTTGGCCGCCTGCCGCCGCGGCCGCGTTATATATCCCGCACAGCGGACCGTAAGGGCCACTCACTGCGGCCGCGGCSGCCGCCGCCCGCAGGAACAGCTGAGATCTAGCCGCCAGCACAGCCCGTTCTTCTGCCGTCAGCTGGCTGAGGCCGCCGCCCGGGTCCAACAACGGCGTTCTGAGCATGTGGTGCTCGCTCAACATCGACTCCATCGTTTCCCTGCAACAATAAAAGGGCGTGCCTAGGTGTAATAAGTCGAGAAGAATCGTGTTGATATGTGGGTGGTGRGTGGACGGTTTTGGGTGTTTAGAACTATACATTCATCCATAATAATTACTCAATCACGACGAGTGAAAAACTAATGCTTATAAAGTTTAAAGGTACCATTACACATTTACACCTCTGTGAGCAGTGACGTCACGAATAATATTTATATTTTTCAGGCGATCGTGCCAACAAATCTAAGACGGATGAATATTTATTTTATATCAGAAAAAAAAAATCTACTTAAACAGTTTGTCATATTTTCACCCTTTTGGACAAAATATGTGAGTGCAAATTAGACTATATCGAGTCATGTCAACTAAATTAGTCGGTCGTRAGGCTGTGTAAATGGTAGATAGATTTCATCGGATATTATGATACTAAAACTACAATATTAATGATTTTCGTTTGATTCCCGGGACAAAGCAATATTGCGGATTTAAGGAGTGAAAACTACGAAAGTTAATAYATAKKTCTTCTCTGACATAAGATAATATTTCATTTCTAAATTTTATTCGCGAACCATATCGTTTGCACGGTCTCGCGGTACCTAACAAATGGTTTTTCTCCCTCAAAGCAAATCTATAAATATTAAATATATTATATATATTTATTGATGATTTAGTAACCCTTAAGTGAAATTTACCTTTCGAATTCGGTCAACCTCGACGAATCTCGGAAACCTTTGGCAAAAGGRTTGCTGTCGATTTTCAACTTGGTTATCTGTAAAACGATAAATATAAAATATTTTAATATTATTAGATGGACACGGTAACAGAACAATAATGTATTATATTGCTACCGGATAACATATTTATTATTAATTATTTCGTAACAGACAATAATATATTTCGAATCGTTAACAAGTAAAAAGTTTGCRCCATTCTTTCGTATCGATACGTCATCGATATCCATTATATTATAATAATATAAACAATCGATCATATTATTTTATGTTTATATAAGTACGAAATGTATTCATTATGAACGATTTACTCGTGATGATACGTCATGGTGATCATAATAATTAATAATCAATGTGTAAGCTGCCTACGATCGCAGTGTGAACATTATTATCACTCGATAGACTTTGAAATGTGAACAGAATTTACGAGTAATAATTGGTTTTTTTTTTCAAATATATCCTTTTTTCACATTTTTTAACAGCTCCAGTAATGGCAGGCCGACAAATATTAGCTATAGGTAACCGCATAATGTATAAATATTTACTATTATTATTATTATCGTCGTCGTTGCTGGTGAGATTATGCGGACGTGTGGGCCGCGCACTAATAGCATATATAGGTAAATACCAGTATACCACATGTCACAAGCAGCACGGGCTGCCCCGGGTGTACTTATTRTACGATGTATACCTGGTATTTACCACGCACCTAACACTATTATGTATTACGTATACATGTATATATTATGCTCTCCCGACGACTACCTGTCTCGCTTATTTGTAGTTGTCACCACGGGGAAGATGCGACGGGTAATGGATATCGATTTGTTTCGGTTAGGTCTCGARCAAACGGCCGTCATACATACATAATATTATGCATTGTTATAATAATAATAATAATAATAATATTGTATATTATTATTATATAGGTAGATACCCACAGTGTGTATTTATCACGGCGCGAAAAAAAAAATACCGACCTGAACGAGACTTTGATAAGTGGCTCGACCACCCCACCCCCCTTCTACGACCGACACTCGTCGAGACTATATTAATATACATACGATGAGGAGCGGTTAAAAAAATAATGGCTGCCCATAACCGCGTGTATACGCGTATATGTATATAATGTATGTTGTATATATATATATGCGTATAACATTAATATACAAACATATATATATACACACATACCGCGGTTACCGCACTCGGGTGACGTATGAGCGTTTCCGACGAGGTGTCGGTGCTGCGCTCAGGGTGGCCTAATTATATATGCGACGTAGACCGACGACGACGACGGGAGAGCCGTGGCTGTGGGTGTGGCATTTCGACGAGTCGGTCGCGCGCGGCGGGGGAGGCTTCGCACTTCCGGTAACCGTATTACACATACCGCTACATACCAATGCTAATATACATATATATATATATATATATATATATATAATAATACCAATATAATGTATAATATGGTGAGTGTGTGTGGCACGTCTCAGGGTCGTCACGTACGGCGGTCATCAAACCGCTTTTTACCGCCCCTCTCCCCACCCATTCGCCCACTCAACGGCCATCGTCTCTGCAGCTCCAGCCGGTGGTCCCCGCGCATAATATTTAATAATAATACATAAGTATATATTATACACCGTAAGTATATTTAAATGTATTAAAAACAAAACGATGTTAAAATAAAACAAAAAAATAGCACGCCCTAAAACGAAAATTTCGATTACGAAGGCCGCGTGCGAATATAAGACGTGATGACGATTTCAGATTTCACAACGTTACAGCGTTATTTATCRTTATAATAAATCGTCCAGTCGAATATTATGATATATTGGACGGGTATWGTGCGACGATCGTAGGAAAAAAATGTGATGCACAAGACGTGTACGTATTTGTCCGCGAGATTTTTTACTGTAGCAGAAAAAATAGAAAAAAAATATAATACGTTAAGTTCAAGAACTGCGTGACACGTAGACACGTCGTCTATTATACCTGCTGGTTGTAGTGCAGTTTAATTTAATATGATTTCTAACATAATACGAATAATGCGAATCATAATATGTGTAAGCACAATCAAATTAAAACTGATTCCTAAACGATGCGATGCGTGCAATAATAGAACGAATTGTGGACGAGTTACCTGCACTATATTTTATATACGTTTGAAGCCAATTGAACTGTTTTTCCAAGACAGTGTGAATTACTTGTTATTTAATTATTATTGTTTAAATCGTCGACGATTCTTCATGGGCATAAAGTTAAAAAAACGTCGTACAGGAAAATATATTATGATATCCCTTTGACGGCACGCCGCCGCACAATACGTTTCTATTTGTGCCTACGCTGAAAATAAGACTCATCTTATTTGTCGGTCTAAAAATAATACCGAGGATGGTTAAAATACTGAAATACGAAACTAAAATATAAAATATGTTCTTGACACCACTCAGTGTGTCTGCTGCAGGATGATGCGTAGGTTCTTAAAAGATAAATACGAAATTTGAACGAAATAATATAATACAGTTCGAGTCTTCTTGATTTTGAAAACTACTTTTTTTCGCGATTATTTCGGGTTCTATTTTATTTACAATAACGATGTCACAACTCACAATAGATCTCATTACCATACACACGACACATATGCTCTTTTATCCATTTATATATTGTATTTTCTACAGGTTAGTAATACGCACTAAACATATATTATATAACATATAAATAAATATATATAGCTAATATTCTGTCGTTCGATTTTAATTCAATTTGTATAATAAACAAGGCAATACGATTATAATCATAACATTTCATATTACATTATTGTGATTTAAAATGCTTTTACTAGATAGTTAAAAGAACTGAAGCAGAGAATAACTAAAAATACAAACGATGAAATTGAACTTAGATTTTATCACCTAACTCGTAAAAGTAATAAGTAGGAGGACTTTGTTTTGGAAACCAAAATCAGTCATAAAGTTTATAACTCGGAATAATTAWAAGTATGGATTGATTAGTTTTATACATAATTCACTTATAAAAAAACAAAAATTGTCTTATGACTGAACAGCAGTCCTTAAATTTCTATCAAATCAATATTATATAATATTATATATTTAAAAACTATTTTTAAAAATTAAAAATTTCAATCACGCCAACACTGTTATTTGATGCTTTCTCTCAAGCATGTGGTAAATGGTAAGCGAAATACTGTTTAAATCATTTATAAATTGGTCGATACAAGTTTATACGCTTTTTGGTCACATAGTGTAAAAATATGGTTTGAACAGCATCTCCTCAAAAATATAATCCATTATAAAAAGATAGATAAATCTTCCAAAGTTCAAGACCATACATAATAATATACTAAGTATAATAGTATTTATCACTTCTCCGTCAAAAAAAAATACTGTAACCATAATAAACAACCTAATTGTATTACCTATAGCTCATGATTTTATATAATCCAAGATTTCTACTAAAAACATCTCATTATATTGTTTTCAAAATAATATAATATGTATGTTTAAATTGAGATTTGACAATATTGAAACTGACTAAAAAATTTTCGTGTTGGTTTACGGCATGATAATGGAAATTGTTTTTTTTTTTTTTTTCAAAACGTATGGCAAAAATAAAGTTACAACAATTATAATAATAATACGACGTAGGAACATACATTTTCCCAAAAAATCTGAGTGGGATTCAGCCCCTCCTCTCCAACAATCACTATATAGTAACGCCTATAATATGACAACGATGATAGACGTCGCTCGTGGCACGATGCAGCCGCACGAGAGTCCGCGCGACCGTAATTTATAACCCATAGAGTATATAGGTATAAACCAACCTATACCTGTACGTAATATAGCAAAGTGTCTATGCACGCGCACGCCGAGCGGTATTATCGTGTCGGTACGAAAATTACAGGGCAAACGACCTATCGATAGGTCATTAATACTGTATTACAACAAATCGGAATTAAACGGCCGTATTGAATTCCTCACTCTCCCTCTCTCGGTGCGCGCGCGGTCTCTTTTTATTATTTTCTATATAATATCATGTATATATACATATATATATTTTCATAATAATATCGTTTCATGTTTGCCGCCGCACACGTAAATTACAACGGTAATAATAATAATGTATTTTTTTATACAAATTATTATCTCTCTACCTACATCTCGCGCGTTCGCGCCCGCCGCGTATAATATAGGAAAAAAAGTGTGCAATAACACAGCGCGGCGGACAATATTATAATATCATGAATAATGCGTTTCTTTTCGTTATCGATCGCGGTCGTCGTGTGACGGCAAAGATCGCGTCGGCCGACCGCGATTTATCGGCTTTTAATTATTATAATATATAGGTCCGACGGCGGTCCCGCACACAGGCAAATCGGATTCGTCGCCGCGGTAGACCTGTCGAATCCAGGCACGTATAATATACATACTGTGTATAGTTTTAAGACAACGTCGTATTACACCATTTTACATGAGGTCATCCAGCCATCCTGGTTACACATACCTTAAYCGTATTGATCAATTTAAAAAAAAGAAATTACGTAGGTATTTATTATTTATTAATTTAACATTATTTTTTAATAGGAACAAATGGAATAATATATTATACGAGTAATATACATATTCATACATATTTTACATTATAGGTACACGTCGAAGAAAAATTATAATGAAATATCTTTGGTTTCAATRTTTGGTAGCTATATACATGATGCGTACAAAATAAAAATAGAATCAACAAAATGTAATAATTATTATAATATTATATRATATATAGGTACTTCTATTTGATTGTGTATAACAGTATCCTGTCGATCATCAAAACATGTAATATATTTGATTATCTCAAAATTATTATTTTTAAATGTAGGTATATTAATATGCAATTGATGGAATATTATGTATATTATATAGGTAGCTTAAACAAAAATAATATTTCTTATAAATTTTATACAGTCTATATAGCATACGATTATCTTTTGATGATAATTCAATGTCTATAATTTGTAATTTCTAAA